GGTCTTTATTTTTGAGTGCTGTTTGATTTTCGTCATGTAAAAGAATATGCATTTGTTTCTTGTTAATCGGTTTCTTGGGGTATGGGAACAGTTGAAGAAGACATATATCAAAATTAAAATCGAAGGGGTCTTGCCTTGCTGACATATCTCAAAACGTCCTGTGGTGGATGTCCCACGGAGGTCTACCACTGGACCTTCCTTAGCAGGGTATGTGTATTCCCATGATGTCACTTAACGTACTGCACGTGTTAGGACGTCCGAACAAAGGTAATCCATTGGAAGTCTTGTGGATGTCTCATATGGGATGTGGGACGTAGGGATCTTTTCAGGATGTCCCTAGGATGACTAGGTATGTGTTATCTGGGTTGTGAAGGAGCCACGGTATGAAAGCAAGCCGTGCTTTCGCAATGATGTGCCTGCATGCAGGGGCGTCACTAGGGTCAGCGGCACCCGGAACGGCAGCCCTCCGCGATCCCCCCCCCCCCCCCCCCCCCCCCCTTTATGGCGCCACTGCTTGCATGATAAGGTACACTACCGCCTACAGTTCTTACAGAATGAGTTTGCAGTGACGTTTAGTTTATTGCCATACTATTATACCCTGTTGAAGCTAAAGAAACTGACGCGCGCGTTTGTAGGAAAACAATCAGGCATCTCCGTTTCCACGTCAAAAAGGCACTTTTCCGACTCAAGTTTTAGGGTTTCAAAGGCCTTGTATGCAGAAGACATTATAGCATCTTCGATCAACTCGCACCGGAATCGCCCTGAAACCAGCACAGTGCACAGCGCTCCTCGGTCGTGCAGCGCAAAGTCGGTGCAACATCGAGGACAAACTGCGCCGCGCCGGTGCACCGCGGCGAGCTCCACCTTGCGTCACTTCGCGTTTTGTTCGTTTTTTCTTGCGTAGGTCAGCGCACGGTGCCCGTCTGCTGTCAATTTCTGCTATTTTTTACTCGCGGATTTGACGGTCCCACAGAAATAAACATCGTGGACGTGATTGTCGATGGGGTCACGAAGCGGGTGACAATTCCACATGTATATGTTGGCCATCATTATTGGTTCAAGAAAACGAAACGCCAGATAATAGCCGTACCTCGCTGTCATCGAAACGCCTCACGCCGCTTTCCACGAAGTTCGTGCTTTTCGGGCGCTCCTTGCCACCGCAGCAATCGCCAGTAATCGCGGCGATGGTGGGAAGCTCGTCGTCTCGCCGTCAGAGGACCCGAGGAAATCATCTAGTGCAGCTGCAAGGCGTGTTCGTTTTTGCAAGATCGCCATCTCGATAGTCTGCGCGTCTGCTACTCCCGCCATCTTCTCGATTCCCGCTCCTGGCCGCAATGCCTGATGGGGACTGCCCCCCGGCGCACCGCCGATTTTCTTGGTGCACGTTGGGGCAACGAAAAGCCGCACCGGGAGGGTGCGCTTTGTTGATCGAGGATGTACGGTGCGCACCGGTGCACTTGATCGAAGACGAAGGGGCGCACCTCAGTGCCCCGGTGCGCACCGGTGCGGATGATCGAGGATGCTATAGGTATGTGTTATCTGGGTTGTGAAGGAGCCACGGTATGAAAGCAAGCCGTGCTTTCGCAATGATCTGCCTGCATGCAGTGGCGTCACTAGGGTCAGCGGCACCCGGAACGGCAGCCCTCCGCGATCCCCCCCCCCCCCCCCCCCCCTTTATGGCGCCACTGCTTGCATGATAAGGTACACTACCGCCTACAGTTCTTACAGAATGAGTTTGCAGTGACGTTTAGTTTATTGCCATACTATTATACCCTGTTGAAGCTAAAGAAACTGACGCGCGCGTTTGTAGGAAAACAATCAGGCATCTCCGTTTCCACGTCAAAAAGGCACTTTTCCGACTCAAGTTTTAGGGTTTCAAAGGCCTTGTATGCAGAAGACATGTGTTCAGGTGCCTTCAAAGAGCAACAAATTTACCAACCTGCTGGGTGCACGAAACGCCAGCGATGCCACCGCCAACAACCACGAACGTGGCTTGGAGATCGGCAGAGCGGAGCTCTTTCGCGTGTTCTGTTGCGCTAGATTCCATTAGGTACTTCATAAGGGCGTGAACAGTTAATCAAGGTAACAACTCGATGTTGTTCATTACTCGAAAGCCTCAAAGCGTATCCACCCTGTCGACGAAAACCACTAAATCAGCTCAAATAACACGCGCTACAGCAGACAGCATTCCTCTCCTCTCATCAGGGAACACCGGGGCGCGTATTGTGAGACCCCCCCCGGCAAAGCCCCGCGAGAGAGAAAAGAAGGAGGGAGAGGAGGAAAGGGAGGAGGGATGAATACCGCGATTGGCTGGCGCAGTCACGTGGTACGCGCGCGCTACGGGCTGTTCTAAGCTGCGTGCAGCCCCCCTCCCCCCCGCTACCGCCGACGCGAGCAGACGCCCTGCCGTTTTGTTTTGGAGTACTCCACGCCCCAGTCGAAAAAGTGCATTGGTGCAGTCCTAGATATTGGAAGGTATCGTTTGTGTGAAACTGGATAACATACGCGCACAGGTCTCAATGCTGACTGGGCAGCTACGCTACGGCCGTTTTATGCTTTCTGCCGTAACGTTCGCGTACTCCAGGGCGGAAGGGTGTGTTTAGGCCTAAGGACCCGTGACCGCTGCCAGCGTTCCGAAGTCATTTACGGCCTGGAAATAAACCCAGCTCGTTTGGCTTTCGCTAAAACGTCCAGTGTAGCTAATGTTTTATTTCATTCGAACGACGCGCCGCTGCGGTGTTGTGTAGTCTGCCCTACAGCGATGCCCAACTCGCCGCTTGGCAGCATTATTCACGGGTGTAACATCATTCGCCCGTTGCTGGCCTCAACAGGAATCGCGCCAGGTACGTATGAGACGCCAACGGAGCACAAGCGGTGATCTGGACCGCGAGTGCACGTCTGAATTGTGCTTTGCATATACACTGTCACGCCTCTGCAAGAATCAATCGCGCTCCCCGCAGCTAGTCGAAATGGAGAAGTGCATTGTCAAGCCTGTAACCCTGCGGCGAAATTGATCTATACCCGATGTCAGCTTTTTTGTGCTCCACTGGAAACGGTACTAAAGCGTGAACGCAGCTGCTTCGACCAGTGCTTTTTTTTTTTTTGCGCGATCACTCGAGGGGCTGAAGCATGTCCGCGGGCAGCGTGCACGCACTCGTACACCCACAGTGGAGTGACGCGAAGTGACGTAGCGATTGTTACAAATTTAGCGAAGGAAGCGGGCAGTGAGAAAATATTCCACAAGCCGACTGGCCATCTACTGTCATCGTCCTCACCTGCAGCGACGACTGGGCACGTGTGTGAACGAATTGGTCGATGTCAAGGGTCGTCCTCGCTGTGCTTACCAATTAGCCTCTGCAATGTGATATGCCCACATGCCCACTGTTATGCGTACGCATGCTGCAGACAGCAGGTGTCAGATTTGTCCTAGCTATGCTTACCTCAGAATATCTTCAAAGGATTGTATTCACACATGTCCGCAAGCCTCGGATAGTTTTGCCCGAGTGACTTGGAGCCTGTGCTCGACACAGGGGGGCTATGTTGCACGTTTTGGACTCCCAGAAGACTAGGGAGAAGGAAGTGACGTAGGTGTGAATGAACGTGTCTTGGCAACTTCTGCAGATACTGTCATCAGCGACTACACCAATCAACATCCAGCGAGCATCGTTGACGTCACTTCCTTCTCCCTAGTCTCCTGGGAGTCCAAAACGTGCAACATAGCCCCCCGGTGCGAGGGCTGGCTTTGCCTGCCTGACCTCCATCTTTCTTTGCGACTACAAAAAGCTGGCCAAACTGGCACCTGGCATTGGTGAATAGGTAGTCTAGACATAAAGGGAAACCGAGGTCAGCCAGCGTGAACTTTGCTTCAGCAACAGGGTTTCAAAATGCAGCCGCAAAAAGATGCACTACATGTTGGGCACATTGCCATTGACGTTTCTGTTTCCAGCAGCTACAAAAATAAGCACTCTCATCTCAGTTTGTCCTCTTTTCCAAACTTGGTGATATTAACCACTTGCGAGGTTCCATCAACCCAAATTTCCACTACAGAATACTGACACTTCTGGCTGCATGACCTCCACTGGGCCATGTGCAGTCAAATCATGGAATGCCTAATTTTTCTGAAACCAGTAGGGAAAATATACGAGGCAAGACATTCTCAGATGATCAGCATGGTCGACTATATATGCAGCAGACCCGACAACAAAACTCCCTGCACACAACTTTAGAAATCCATCCATTTATTTCAGGCACATTGCACTTGCGAGCAGGCAAGCACGAAAGCAAGTTTACATCACGAGCACTGGCAGTGCAACACAAGGCGCGCAAATATGCCCAACAAAAAATATGAAGCATAACGAAAAAATAATGGTTATCTCATTATTGAAGACGGCAATAGAAACAAGGTTGTCGTGATTCATGTATGTGCACTACACAGTAAACAGCGTCGTGACAACAGGAAGGGCACAAAAAGTGCATTAAAAACAAATCGCAATAAGGAAACCTTGCACTCTATGCAACCAAAAAAAAGAAGAAAGCCTAATTCCTACCAATAAAATCATACTATTTTAAAATAAAATAAAATACTATTTTCTATCAAAAGAACAGATGCGATGCGAATACACGAGTCTTGGTCAGTCATGTATCGGAGCCGCTTCTAGCATCTCCCTTTCCACTTCCTTTCCTACGCCTTGCCACTTGCACACCGTTCAATGCAGATGAACATCCATAAGCTTTGCAGTGCATTGGCAGGTGTGATCCATAACCACTGATAAGTGAGGCCGCACTGATTACCATGCCTCTTACCACAAACCAGCAACTTAACCTTTGGTCCCGAGCATTGCAGATATTGGAGAACTTGCAAAGGGTCGTAATGATGACAACCACACAGAATTTGGCTGCTACTCTTTTCAAGCTGTGCAATATTTTATGTACATAAGGCATGACTTAAATTTTTTTGTGATGTTTCTTGAGTACAGTATTATGGCTTTTAAGTTCTGAAAGGGACAGTGACACCCCCCAAAAATTGCTTTTATTTTTTGCCAGGCAATACATTATGGTGTCGGAAGACTACCCTATCAATATTTTGCGACAGCGTCACATATATTTTTTATAAAGTAAAAAAATGCAACTGCTTGAAACCGAAACTGGACTGGGGAAGAAGAAATATAGAGAAAGTTACCAAAAATCACATGGTTTCGCAACTTTTTTTTTTTTCATTCAACATAGTTGCAGCTTTTTACAAGCCACGAAAAATGGGCATCATATTTTTTGTCTATATTTAGCATCGGGTGTGTGCCTTCGATTACCACGACTTTGATTATCTTTGGTGATTGTGTCTCAACCATAGAAATCGGCACGTGACCATGGAGAAGAGGGTGAGTGCGACTCAAACCGTCCAGTTTTCGAGCGGAAAGAAAACGAATTTCGAGCCGCAAATTGTGTTGTGTAGCCGCCGCATTTGTTCATTTAATGGAAAGAGTGTGATTTTATCAAGACGGATTAGGCTTTTTTTCTGTTTTGGTTGCGTCGAGTACAGGCAGTTTCCTTGTTCTGGTCTTTTTAATGCTCATTTTGCGCCCTTCCTGTTACATCATGACGCTGTATTTAGTGCACATACATGGATCACGACAATTGTTTCTATTGCCACCTTGAATCACGAAGATAACTTTGTTGTTGTTTATTTTTTTTTTTTTTTCCGAATGGGCTGTGTTGTTGTTATTCATCAAGATAGCTATGGCATTGTGCCACGTGTGTGTGCACTAGATATGTTTGCTCGGCAGAATTTTTCAGTAAACCTTTTAGTTGCAAGTTAGCGCTCGTTTTGCGTTCTGCTTCTTCTGTGTCCCGTCTTTCTTGTGCTACTTGTCAGCGATCCGGAAAAACGTAATGCCGCGCTCCTTTCACTCTTTGCGCACGATCTCAGGACTCTGTGAACGAGAGTATGACTCTTTTACTCTGGAGCAGCGTGCACAGAAAGTCGCTTTTTGCTGTCTAGTGGAAAGAGCGCAAGCTCGTTGACTCCCGGAGCCGCTACTGAGCGCATCTAATCATCATCTGCACTGGGGTTTTGCACCAAAAGTAGTATAGCCTCATTTCACTAGGGCAATAAACAATTGTTCCACTAGTGCAACAAAACAGCAGCCGTTCCACTAGTGCAACAAACAGCAACCAACGAAAACAAGCAAAAGAGTACACTGGATAGATTACCTGTTTGTCGGAGCTCACCAACCCATCTGGCGCACACGACGTAGAGCACACTGAATGCATATTTGTTTCTCTAGAGGGACCTAAGCTGGCAACAAGACTATGAAATAGACAAACAAGCAGTGTCGGATGACACGGCTTTCGTGTTTAACTCCCTGGGCGAAATGCACACTGACAAACACAGTATCGGTAGAGGGAGTTGGTTTTCTTGAGTAAGGATTTTAAATCAACCACTTCTTTTTGTGTTGTTGACTCTTCGCGTGACCAGTGTGTTCACAACGCTATTTTACTCGCACCCCAAGGTATCTCTACCGCCAGTGTTTGCAGACATAATGGTATGAAAGATGAAGAGGATAAACCATAGCAAATGGGATCATTGTCACTTACAGGTCTCCAATGTTACTAGAACACTCAGTTGGGAAACTCGCCGTCGAAACTTGGGCCGCTGGGGTCCACCGAGACCGAGCTAAATACGACAACAGCGCCACTCTTTATCATTTGTCTGTACTGTGGTCACCTTGAGCTTTTAGAAAGCATGTTTTTACATAAAAACAAACGGAAAAGACTCTTTTTGTATGAAATTTATTGGAGTTTAGTACCAAATGATTTTGCGTGATGTTTTTAATATCTTTAGGTTGCAGGGTTTTGCAGCACAATTATTATTGTTTTTATACAACCATGCCTCACCGGTGCTTTCAGGTAGCGCGTCCCGACCTAGGTGCATTTTAACTTCAGTAGTAAGTCACGGTGCGTTCGCTGGGGAGACGGGGGTGGCACCCCTGTAACCTCTTCCGCTGTATTTGTTTTGGCTCAGCAACGGCCGATTAAAGCCAAAATAGAAGTAACGTACAGTTCCTCCAGTGGCCGCTGCGGGAGAAATGGCGGCGTTGTGTTCGTCATTAGCTCGGTTCTTGAGGACAGATCGGGGCCACTTTTTCAGATTAGTCTCTGTGGCAGTTTTCCAACTGAGTGTTTTATGGCGAATTCCACTGGTCGTTTT